CCTTATCTTGCGGCATAATCCTCTAAAACGTCACGTCATCGTTTTATTTTACACTCAAAGAAGGTGTATAATTAGGTTTTAAAAATGTTTTCTAATTGCCGAATCATTTGGAGCCTGATTATTCGTTGTATTAGCGCGTAATGATTTCAGTCTGCAGGGTGCATGCGCTCCGCGCAAAGAGAATTGCATAATCTTGTATGCCTTTAAGAAGACACTATGTAGGGTTCATACAATTTTGCAATGGATGCCAACTATGTTGTACATTTCATAAGGAGCTGTGGTGAACGGCGAGGTACGGTGCTATGTGAATGGACATTACGAGGTCTTAAAAAATCTTATAATTAGAAATTTTTTTAAAACCTTATTAATTATAAAATAAAACGACGACGTGATTCTCTATCAGACAATTGAAAGAATGAATATGTTTGTTCGTGGTTTCTAAAAAATATATTTGAATTTGCATGACCACCCAAAATCATTGGGAGAAATTCAGACTACTTCAGTAGTCATGTATTACGGGTACGGTTTCTACAGGAGTTTGAAAAACGGCGTATTCAAAAATCGACATTCTGTTGACTCCGAAATATTATAAAATTATGCCGCAAGGTAATCAGCATGACAACCGCGCCTAAGTAATCCTTCGTAATCGAAAAGGCATTTCAGAATTTAAGCCACTTAATGTAAATAACTTCACGCGCGTGCCACCACCACCACCTTTCCATCGGGATCGTCGTGGTCCCGATCGAGCTCGACAGGGGAACCATCAGGTTAACCACAAAAAAGCCAATTTTAACAAAATGCTTTTATCCCCTGCACTCGAACACCTTCATTAAGCCTAGAGGAACCTCATCTTCTGTACGGATTCCGAATGATATGCTGCGCCTTTGCTTTTGTCTATTCGTGTTTTTTTTGTTCATTTGGTCCTCCGAGGCAAATACCTTAATAGTTTAGTGGAATTATTAGAATTATTCAGATGACTCACCACGCATTCGCTGGCTCCTTTAGAGACTGGCTAGACAGAGGTGAGACCCGGTCGATTTCGAGTTCTATTCTCGCGCATTTAATCGATACGAACCACCGAGTCGATGCCAAGAAAGCATTTCAGGTTGTCTACCGGACACCAACATGCTTCTCTAAAGGCCTACGCCAACGGATACTAGCAACGGCAGAGGCACTAGCTATACGGTTAGTGAATCCGGTGTTATGCTGTCAGAAAACTCTGACACAAGCGCTTTCGCTGCCGTGGCCAACGCCAACGTCAACCCCAAGTGATGAAGCCATGCCGCCTCAAATCCCTAATCACGATGATGGGTACTCCGTGCACTCAACCCAAGATCATTACTCAAAGACTCTTTTACCCCCTCCCCTAGCCCTGACGACTAACACCCGCCGACCTTCTCATGCGGGCGGCGTGGGGATGATGAGTGTTAGTGACTTAATAGCTCTTGAGGCATCTATAAACACTGTTGATTTTGTACATTTTCATTCGTTCATGTAATTGTATTGGCCTGAGGAAGAATTACCGAAAACGTGCGTTCGCCAACTTGACTTTTCAATCCTAATTAGCCAAAAAAGCGGTGTTGAAAGCTGTGCTGGTGATGGGGCAACCGGTGAAGCATGTCACGGCGGTTAAGTAAGTGCCACCGTCTGTCCCCTTGCATGCGAGCACAGGCTGGATAAGCCAGGTGACTGCAGGGTTTGGCGAACTTTTGTGCCCATATCGGGAGGTGGCCGCACAGTATCGATGCTACCTCCTCCGCTATGGCTAACAGACACTATTATTTGAACTTCTGCGGACTATCTTAAAGGCTTCGTTAACTTGCTGTCAATTCTCCATGTCCTCTAGGGGTACAAGGGACGAGATAAGGGGCGTATTCGGCAAATTGCATTCCTACCACCCAGACCTCTGAGATTGGCGGCCTTGGGGTTTCACGTGAGTCCTCCCTGTGTGAACATCCCGTTTTCCAATGGTGACATTTGCGTCCTGTGCGTTGTAACTCCTTTTCTCACAAGAAGAAACTATTTGTTTGGTACGCATAATCGCCCCCGGGCTGTTGTCCAATCGCTTTCTTCTTTGTCGTCGTCGAACGATGAGTCATGCGCAGGCCGCCCCCACACACACGACAGTTCGAACATCGATTTCGATGATGTCCACCGTGTGCCCCACAGACTGCATTGTGGGAGCAGGGACGGTGACTTGCGCAGGGGTTTATAGTGTCAGTAGACTTGCGTAGCATCTACCTACACTCTCTCCTCCTCCCCCGCCTGGGCCCGGTGTCAAGACAGAGTCAAGAAGACCGGAGACGAGGGAGGCCGCAGGTGGATGGCTTGGACGGATCCTCGCCTTGGCGCTCCACTCCGCACCCCCTGGTCCACACACAAATGACCAGGATTTTGACCACAAAACAAAGGGGTGGTGGCAGTGGTCCAGTTGTACGACGATTGCCGACAACAGAGTCTGCCAGCAGACCGCGCAAGTGTTGGCATTTGTTATTGCGCACAGATAACGCCTGCCAGAGTACGATGTGGCCCCCGTGTTGGTCCAGCCCATCTAACACGTGGCCCGTTTAGAGGGCACACACACACACACACACACACACACACACACACACAACTGACCTCTATGTAATAATTGACGTCGGTGGGGAGGGCGGACCTCTCGCGTTGTTGGGGCCTGTGCGAAGAATCCACCACCGCCTACTGATTTCAACAGTTCGCGTTGGCCTATTCCACAGCTCCAGCGTGCTCAGCCCCGGTCGAAGACTTGTTTGCGAAATAAACAGTGTAGTACAGAATTGCATCCCAAAAGGTGCGCCACAGGCAATCAGATCGAGGTTCGGCGGACGTTATTGGGAATGTGCAGCCACATATTGGAGTGTGTTGACACGCCCAGTTGTAGGCTCGCCTCGCGCCAATAGGGATTCGAGCCGCCTTCTATTTGCCCGTATCCTTTGCATTCATTACTTCAATGGCCATATAAATGTACAGGCCTGAAGAGAATTTATCGAAAGCAAACGTATGCTCGCCAAATTGCCTTTTGAATTCCCTATTATTCTTGTATAGAATCCTGGTCAGCGTACGTTTGGACCAGAGGGTGTGGTGGTACGTCTAGGTGCGGGTTTTCGTCGCCGTGACAGCCACCTATGCCGTCTGCCGTCTCCTGTATTCTTGACTCTCTTATTACAACGGGCACAGATGGGGGAGGGTAGAGTTCAATAGACGCCGCGCAAGTCTGTCATCATTTCGGCACAAAGCCCCGTCTCTACTCTAACTTGACTTCTGAAATGCGTTTTCGATCAAGGATTACTTAAATGGGGTTAGAGTATTTGGTATTGTGCAGTATAATTCCATAATATTGTAGTCTCGCTGACAGTAGACGCAATAGTTAAAAATTTTTTACTTATACAGCATAATTTTTTTCCACTTTTTTCGATGGTCTTACGATTTCAACTGCATTTTATGGAAAATGGGCCCAAACATGTCCCTCTGTGTACTCATTTGGTAGTAACTGACGTGTTCTTCTATATTCATACTCGAAGAAAGAGTACATGTAGATTTTAAAGAGTCTTATAATTCCCACGTATTTTCCGACTCGATTTGCCGTTGCATTTAGGTCTAGGGTTTTCAGTCTATAAGCCGTAAAGTTTCCGTGTAAGTTCAGTCATGCATTCGTCTGAGCCATTTAGAAGGCACCCGCAAAATTTTTGCAATGAATGTGAACTAGGTCGTGCACTTCATAAACAGCATTCATAAAGTTACTGGTGCAGTGCTATTTGAATAAACATTTCATGGCCTTAAGAATCGTAGGTAAGATGTGGTTATGTGGTCCCATCTGATGGACGCAATACTGTTGGGATCGGAGTCAGGGGTTAGAATTAGGATTTAGGGTTATGGGTTCGAGTTGAGGGTTAGGGTTGGGGGTTGGCGCAACTATTTCTCAACCACTCAGAGTACAACCGCACATTCTCAATACCTTTCTTCTGCATACAACTACTTGACCTTGTCACCTGTGCGTTCGTCGGCCCCACCTGTAAAAACTCCCATTACCATCGGTCCCGTATTACAGGTGGCTGGGTTTGTTTACTTCAGGTGGGGTTACATAACCAAATCTAACCGAGTCGTATTAAAAACCCCTTCGCCAGGCAAAAACTTTGAAGAGAACGAAACTTGCCTCTAAGTAAATACAAGGAAGGGTATCCGTACGCATATTTTATGTGTAAAACCGTGGAAAACCAACGAAAATAGTCTCATTTTTCGTCAAGCGGGCATTTTTCTGGCCGCGGAAAAGAAGGGCACTTAAAAGCCAACATCTTGACCTGTCCGAAATATCCAGAAATTATATCGGAAGGTAATAAATATTACAACCACAACTTAAGTGATCCTTTCTAATCTCAAAAGCCTTTCAAAATTCCGGATAAGCTTCCTTGAAATCCGTCACTGAATGCTTGATCTTCTGACAGTTTTCAGGCACACACCAGAGATTTTAACGTAGACGAACAAAGTTCAGGTTTTTTGTAATGATTTGCCTGATCTTTACTCTTCTCGCTGGGGCAGGAGGCTCAAAGCAAGGCTGTAGGAAGTGTTTACTAGTCTGAATAACCTCTCCGTCTGCCGTGACCGGACAGATCTTTCCCAGTGGAAATTCTAGTTTTCGGGAGCTTATTTAGACGCTTATTTAGATGCTTTTAGCTGATCTGAGACGGAGGAAACTACTGGCCTTGAAAGGAGCCCGCCATCCCCACACACTGCCTTCAGGCAAGTTAGGACCCGTAGCAAGCGCGCACCACGACCTACTGTAGCGCCAAGATGACCTGCGAGGGGAAAAACCCAGTCTTTCACGTAGATGTACAGGGTTGGTGACCAAACTTTCGTCCCGAGAGAGAGCGGAAAGGAAATCAAGTCGCTCTTGGTCGCAATGAGAGCATGTCACCCCACCTGATCGGTGAACACTAGTCACGCGATAAGGAAGATCATTTTTCACACCGTTCACTTCTGTGGCGATGAGCCTGAATCAGGTGATGTACTCGCGATGGCATGCCATCAAGCAGCACGGTAGACCGCAAGGAAGTCTGATGAGGAGGGTCGGATGCGGAAACCATATCCAAGAGATATTCTGGAAGTGAACACTAATCATTAACTCACTCCGGCCGGACCGAAAGTCACACTGCTGTCTTTCCACCCGCTCACCTGAGGGGGGGGGACGGCTAAGAGGAATCTGGCGGCCACGTCAGAATGACTTACAGTAGATGTGCTAACTCATGAAATGCCAACCAAAATTTCGAAATGCGTTCTCGTTTCGAAAAGACAAATTAATTAGTGTTGTAAAACTAATCATGGTGCAGCACAAATCTATAATGGTCCAGTTACCTCAGGGTGTCGGCTTTCGAAAGAACTTATTTTCGACTGCATGCAAGATCTATACTCTGCAAAAAATGACTGCTTATGTAGCATGCAATTTTCTCATTGATTTTCGATGCCCTTGAAAATTCAATTATATTTCATGGAAAACATGCATAAAATTACTCATTCTTTTACTTATTCGGTAGAAAATCACGTCTTCTTTCAATTTCATACTCAAAAGAAAAGTATAATTCGGTTTCAAAAAACTTTTCGAATTCCCGAATAATTTTGAACCCGACCTGCTGTTACACTTGCATTCAGGGTTTCAAAACTACAAGCTGCATATTTTCCGTGTACGGAAAACCGTGCATTTCTTTACGGTGTTAAAAGGAGACCATGTGAGGTTCATAAAATTAAGCAGTAGATTTGAGAACTATTGTTTACTTTACAAGCCACATTCGTAAATGCAGATACATGACGTTTCATGAACGGCCAGTTAACGGTATTAAAAAATCTCACAATTAGAAACTTTTTTAAAACCAAATTATACTCTTCTTTTGAGTATGAAATTGGAAGAAGACGTGATTTTCTACCGAATAAGTAAAAGAATGAATATTTTATGCATGTTTTTGATGAAATATAGTTGAATTTTCAAAGGCATCGAAAATCAATGAGAAAATTGCATGCTACTTAAGTAGTCATTTTTGCAGAGTACAGATATTGCATGCAGTCGAAAATAAGTTCTTTCGAAAGCCGACAGCCTGAGGTATCCGGATCATTATAGATTTACGCTGCATCGTGATTATTTTTACAACACTACTTAATTTTGGTTGACATTTCATTAGTTAGCACATCTACTGTATATGCCATGGACGTTCTGTCCCAGCGTCACCCACTTCACGCTCTCCCCTAAGTTCCTGTATCGGTAGCATTACGCCCGGGCGGGAGGTGTGACGATGAAGAGGTTTTCTAGGAGATACTGACTTCTTTTTGCAGACAATGAAACTACGGCAGTGGCAATGATCGTTTTAACCTTCCAGACTTGTGTATTGGCTTCATCTAATGATCACCTAAACTATCACGGTGGGCTAAAAGCCGTGGCTTGAAACAAATCGGCGCTCCTCTCAAAACGGGGAGTCAAATGGGATTGGAGCCGCCCAAGCATGTGTGTGGCACGCGCAGACAGGCTATTTAGCCTCGTAAGCCACTGCGCCTGATTCCGTCTTTGGTCTTTCAACTCTGTCATGATACTGAACTCAGGCGAGTGAAGGAGATGCGGTGAAAGTCTCCGTCTAAGACATACGGTGGACATTGACTGTAACGACGATCATAGAAAATGCATCTTGCAAAACAAGGACGGAGGAAGTGCGCAGTACAGTTATTTGCAGCCCTTTGTCTCCATGTCCCGGAAATACGAATAAGACAATACCCTGTTGCGGAGGAGATATATCCCCGACTGAATCTAGCTGGGTGCCCCAAACAGGGTCAGGTGAAGGAAACAGCAGATGCGCAGTAAGCATCCCCGGGATACACTGGCTGAACAGAGACTAGGCCTGATCTCTCCGCCTGATCGTCTTACCGTTGGAAGACAAGACGTGCTGGATGAGAGCTGTGCTGGACGCAGTGGCAGTTGCCGCTGCTCCTCTCCGGAATTCTGGACGTCTCCCTGAGCCTGACGGAGCAATTATTGGACTGTGGAGGGTGCTGCGTAGGACGGAGGGGAGACTCAGACAGGTTACTCTGCAAAAAAAACAACTAGCTGAGTTTAACGCTGAATTTGACTCAGTGCAACGAAAATATATGACGGGTAACCACCTATGAAAAAAATTCGGGAAGATGAGGTAGCGCTTCATCTTGTAATCCAGTCCCTGCCTGGTCGTTCGTCCTCTTCTTCTATACCTCCTCCTCCCCCTCTTCCTCCCCCACCTCTTCCTCCCCTCCTCCTCTTCCTCCCCCCTTTATTATTATTATTGAAGAAGAGGAGGAGGAGGAGGAGGAGGAGGAGGAGGAGGAAGAATAAGAAGAAGAAGAAGACACGATCGCCGTGACAAGAGCTTTCTTAGCCTGACGTTTCTGATTCCTGCTCGAATCCACCATCAGAGACAAAAGCAGATAAGGGTGGTTCATGCATATGCGGCTTCAGTATTTATAGGATGCAGTAGCCATGCTACCGCATACCTATGAATATTCACGGCTACCCCGCCCCCCTCATCAGGGATCGTTGCACGTGGCGTGATGACCGACATTCGCGTCGTTAATTGCTGCAATTTCATCACATGCGTTGGATGTTGGTGTGATGATCGCTCGACCATCTGATGCGATGACCCGGGTGTTGGGAAGAGTGTTCACCTCTGCGTCCCCCGCGTGGCCAATTACTCCGCCTAGACGAAGTCTCCGCACGGTGTATTGAATGGGAAGATCAGTGCACTTGTTAATAGACTGGGGGCCAGTAAACCATGACTCAAGCAGCTCCCGGCTCACGCGGTTGTCACCTCTTGCGAGAATTTCGGCCTCGTCAAATTTGAATGTGTGGCCGGAACCCGTCGAATGAGCCGCAACTTGAGAGCTGGGTCAGGGCGTCAGATGGTCGAGCAATCATCACACCAACATGCAACGCATGTGATGAAATTGCAGCAATTAACGACGCGAATGTCGGTCATCACGCCACGTGCAACGATCCCTGATGAGGGGGGCGGGGTAGCCGTGAATATTCATAGGTATGCGGTAGCATGGCTACTGCATCCTATAAATACTGAAGCCGCATATGCATGAACCACCCTTATCTGCTTTTGTCTCTGATGGTGGATTCGAGCAGGAATCAGAAACGTCAGGCTAAGAAAGCTCTTGTCACGGCGATCGTGTCTTCTTCTTCTTCTTCTTCTTCTTCAAGACTGCTTCCTTGGACTCGTCTCTTCGCGTCTATAGGCAATTATTATTATTATTATTATCACTACCGCTGTCGCCGTCGCCACAGAGCATAGTTTCGGAAACTGATGAATATATAAGGACGGCGGAATTGAGTCGGTGTTTAGGGTGACAAAATTAAAGGTATGGTTAGTTGCAAAGGACGCGAAGACAATATTATGATAGATAATGACTATAGTTTATAAGTAGTAAGAATTCAGATCACGGATGAGACGAGGTTCAGGAAACAGTTCCGAATACGCGATCGCCGAAGCAAGGGGTTTCCTGACCTGACGTCTCAGATTCTCACTTGAACTCATCATCAGAAACAGTCGTAGATGGGTTCCCTGACGAGTCCGTGGGAGAATCTGAAATGCGAAGTCAATGGACTTCATGTTCAAACGATTGCATATTCTTACTCTTTTTCTCCTTCTTCTTCTCCCTCTGAGACCTCGCCGTTTAAATTTCGATGCCTCTTTACGACCAAGTTTATGGAGCTTTGGAACGGAACACCAGGTCCCCGCATAAAACAAGGAGACCTAGATTAGACCGAAGAGAGCTTGGGGTAGACCTGAATTAAAGTGTCAAGTGTGAATTCGCTACCAAAAACCGAGCGATGTGTCAAGACGGTGGAGCAGTAAGGGGACCTAGCAGAGTTGTCGATTGGTACAGTGCATTAATTTGAGAATAAATTACCCTGTTAGGTTAGCAAGATAGATTATACTAGTGTATTCAAGCCCTCTCAGTAATCCGAGTCAATTTCTGTACTTCTTTGTCTCCAGGACTTGACTTCTTACCTGTCGGCCCCGTCATGCCGTGTGAGTGGGGTATCGAAAGCAAACAGATCAGAGATCCATTCCTGAATGTGTAGAAAGTCAAACAGCCCGTGTAATTCTATCATTAAAACTAAACCTAAACCAAAGGGGAGAATGGAATATCTTGTAGGATAAATACTGGAAGGTACGATTTCAGTTGCCTAAATTCCGTCCCCGCAATTGTCTCAACGGCTTCATGTCAGGTCTCTGGGCTTTATGAGCGTCATGGTTCAAAAGGTGCGAGCCTGTGCAGTAGCCGGGAAACGATCCGTTTGGATTTAAGGACATCACAGCTACCATCGGTTCTCCCCAATCTGAAATCCGCCTGGCGATCGTCGTCCTTTTATTACCTGGGATGAAACGTTTTTGTAAGGAAACTGGTACCTCAAAGACTTATAAGCAAGCCCCCACCCCCCACCTCTCAAAGTCTAGTAGAGCTAATATATTACTTGATTGGTTGACGTACAGTTGTTCGTCATTTATGAAAAGAACATCACCAACGCTGGCGGTATGTGAAGGACGTTTAAGCCAACTAGCAGCTGATGTTTACTGCCCGGAGATGATTGCACAGAACGTTATAAGCCGAGGAGAAATCGTCATGTCGGTTGCTGGAACTCTCCGTAGTCCTTTGGGTTAAGCTTGTTCCGCCGCAGTCATTTAAAAGCATGGTTGTCTTCTCAAGGGTCTGTTTACTAAGCTGAGACACCTCTTTCCGTCATCACACGCTTGATTTGTGTTCACGACACTGGCTGCCATCCCTTCTACAGACTGAACTGTATAATTTGAAGGACAGGCGATGCAAGGGATGCAGTAGTCCGCACCAAAATGGTTAATCTGGGCCTTCCTTAGTCATTGGTCTTCAGGATGTAGCTGCATACATTGACTATGTTTTTCGCAACACGGCATGTTGCACATTCAGTCGATTTTTAGTGTACTTTTGCGGGAACGAACAAGAAAGAGGGCGGACTCTTTGGGGGTTTACTGACAACCACTGCGCATGCATTAGTGCTGTGAACGCGCAGCCTGTCGTAATGTGCGTGAGCGCTGCTGAAGAACGTCATTGCACAACTCCGATTGCGTGACCTTGATCGCTTGCCGCGGTTTTGTCCACGTTGCAACTGTCTCCGTAGTGCTAGGAGAGGCGGGTACTACTGAATCTGCCAAGGTACGATGGTCAACAACGAGAAGATTCCTAAATTGAACCTCCGGGTGACAGCCCGGCTCCGAAAACAGTGGCGACAACTTTTAAACCTGGCCGAGCGCCCGCTGCTGATATTGTTAGCCCTAGCGCGAAGTGTTTGCATGCAGTTAAAGTTTGTCCGGTTGCGGCCAATCCTCCAAGATCAATATATCGATCGGTGTTACAGTGTCGGTAAGCCCGAGGCTGAGTCAGACGTGATGCTAACGGGGAACTTTGAAGGTATTTAATGACTGCCACCACGTCAGGTAGACCGTTACAAACCTCTTTTTTGTTTCGTCAGATTTTGAGATCAAATCGGGAAAGAAAATTTGGATTTTTTTAGTGCAAAGTTAGAAAACCCACCTACTTATCAGATTTTGCAGAAAAAATTGAAGACAAGCTTTTCATGAATCGATACAAAACTAAGCACCCCCCGTGGGAGACCCGTCGAAGAGTGAACAAAGAAGAATATCTTCACAACATTTCAGGCGTTTCCTTGGGGGGAGGGTGTGTAAGAAGGCAAACTGTGGCCTTGGGAAAATGGGCCAATCAACTAGCGTGATGTCTCGATAACAGATCTTATTGATTTTGGGTACGTGATTGTGAGTGCCACAGATGGTTTGCACTTTCCCTGATTGCAGTCAATAGCCTGGGCCTTTCGGTGTTCGTGGGGGGCATTAAGCCCTGTGAATCAGTGGATCCGCAAAAATGCCATTTCTTCCGGTCAGAGGTTGGACTATGGTCAACTTGCGACGACGGATACACCAAAAACTATTACTCTAATCCGCCCCCGGTCCTTGTCGGTAAGGTGTTATTGATTATTGATTTTGAAGGCAACGGGGTTAGGGTTAGGGTTTACGGTCAGGGGTTGGGGGTTAGACCGGGGCTTGTTTACTGCAGGTACGGCTGCGAAATAAGCTCCGACCTTTTTTTAATGTGAGCTGCAGATCATGTGACTTATTTGCGTGCTTTAGCTTGTCACAATGCGCTTGACAAACGGACAGAATTTTGCACGTAAGTTGGTCGATTCAAAGCGGAATTTTTGTTTTCCTTCTTTCTGTTTTGCATGCCCCTACTAGAAAATTCGAAGGTACAGTAGGTGTGATAACTCATAAAATGTCGGCCGGGATCCAGAAATGTGTTTTCGAATGGAAAAGACTACTTAAGTAGGGTTGTAATATTACCAGTAGAAGCGAAGAGACGGATCCCAGGAAGTAGTCTTGAAGAAGGAGACACAATCGTCGGGCTTTAGTAGCCTGGCGTTTCCGACTCCTGCTCGAACCCATCGTCAGAGACAAAAGAAGATACGGATGGTTCATTCATAAGGGGCTGCAGTATTTATAGGATGCGGTCGCCATGCAACCGTGACTCCCCCTCCCTTCACCAGGGATCGTTGCACTTGACGGGATGATTCTTTGATGGACGATATTCGCGCCGTTAATGGCACAGTTTCGTCACATGTGTTTGAGGCTGGTGCGATGATTGCTCGACTATCTGACCAACTGACCCTGGCGTTGGGAACTGTGTTCACCTGTGCGCTCCCCGCTTGGCTAATTACTCCGCCTAGGCGAAGTCTCAGCACCGAGTATGGAAGGGGAAGGTAGTTGCACTTGTTAATAAACTGGAGAGCAGTAAACCATGACTCAAGCAGCTCCCGGCTCACGCAGTTGTCACCTCTTGGGAGAATTTCGGCCTCGTCGAATTTGAATGTGTGGCCGGATCTAGTCGAATTAGCCTCAACTTGAGAGCTGGCGTCATTTCTTCCCACCGCTCCAGCGTGTTCGGCCATTCACGTTCGGAGCTGTTTTTCGGTTCCTCCGACGTAGGGAGACTGGAATTGACATTTCTGGCTCGTTAGTCGTTCCCAGCCAGCCAAATCCAACTCCGAGGTATGCAACTCCCGAGGTTTGAACTCACGACGCGTTAGTCAGAATTTTGCTCCAGACTTTGAACAGCCACGGGAAAATGAGCATTTCCCTGCAAACATACGTTTCTGCAACATCTTCGCTAGCGTTATCCCGCTCGGGGTAGTCAGTGCACGGTGTATGGCAACCAGGTGCTCCCAAAAAAGACCGGGAGGACTAGATCGCAGTCCAGCAGGCGTTATTGGACATGTCCGCC